TGAATTGTTGCCATGGCAATAAATGTGTAGGACTTATGCATGCATTTTCTGCTATAGGATTTTGATTAATGGCATTGACTAAATAGTCTGAAGTAGAAGAAACAGTGCATAAAGCCTGACACTAGACATGGCCTGGAATGGATATACCCACTCCACAGTGTACTTTTTATACTAGAATAACTGTGAATGAAAACTGAGCTGTCAGATATCCAAAAAGTCTCTTTTGAAGATTTTACAGTGAAACCTATTGAAAAGAACACACACATTTAAATAATATTGGATCAATTGTGGTATTAGTTTAATACATGATGAGTCCTCCACTGGGAATGGCATGCTTACACAAATGAACAGAGGGGATGATACAAATAGGTCTTTTCCACATCTAACCACTATGAACCTATTAGCTTACTATAGGTCCAGATTCAGCAATGTATTTAAAGCAACTGACCTACTTAACTGATTCTGTAAGGTCTATTAGTATATAAATAGTCCTAATGACAAATGCTATAGGCTATGTCTACACTGTAGCCTTCTTGCGGAAAACTTATGCAAATGAAGCTTGGCATGGAACATCACCACACTTCATTTGCATAATTAATGAGCAGCCTCTTGCGCAAGAACTATTCTTCTTCTTCCTACTCTGAATATAAAGCCACTAATTCCTTACATGGTTTTAAACACTCTTCCAATAGTTGTTAATTATCACACCTATTTGTGTTTAATCAAGGATTCATTTCTTTTTCTGCTCCTAAGTGGAATCAGAGTGCTGAATTTATGACATAGCTTATTTCCACAGAAATTATTGCAATTTCATAAGCAAAGTGTTATTTCTTCGTTGCAGAATCAGGTGAAAGAAGAGGCTGGACTATACAGGAGGCAGCATTAACCTGAACTCATATGTCTTTAGTTGGAGAACATGGGAGCACAAGAAATGATGACCAATTCAATTTATTTTTGCAGCAGAATTCTCTTACCAAATTTGCCTCACTATGAAGCTTGCTATTTCCTTTTAAGACTCACAATTTCTAAAAGTATCTACTTTAATTAATGACAAACATGTTTCAAAATCCTTGCCATTATACCTTATAGTTTATTTGGTCTTACTTAAGTAATCATCTGTTCTAGGCTTGACAGAGGAAAGAAGATACTTTTCTAAAATATTTCTAAAAGGGTTTATCTATCTGGTATCTTTGCCAATATTCACTTCTAGCCAGTGTGAAGAATCAGGATACTTTTTGGCAGGCTGGGGGAGAAGGAAGGATAGTTGAGTACATAAGACAAAGACTCGAATATTGGGATACTCTGAGGGTATGTCTACACTACAAAGTTAGTTCGAACTAACGGACATTAGTTCGAACTAACTTTAATAGGCGCTACACTAGTGCTCCGCTAGTTCGAATTTGAATCGAACTAGCGGAGCGCTTAGTTCGAACTAGGTAAACCTCATTTTACGAGGATTAAGCCTAGTTCGAACTAGCTAGTTCGAATTAAGGGGTGTGTAGCCCCTTAATTCGAACTAGTGGGAGGCTAGCCCTCCCCAGCTTTCCCTGGTGGCCACTCTGGCCAACACTAGGGAAACTCTATGCCCCCTTCCCGGCCCCGGACCCCTTAAAGGGGCACGGGCTGGCTACGGTGCCCGTGCCAGGTGCAAGCCTGCTAGTGGGAAAAAAATAGTTTGTCAGTAGAGTAATTTGAATTACTGCCCTGGACCGCAAGAGGAGGGCACCTTCCTGGGCTAGTGAGGACATCGTGGACCTCGTCCACGATCTCCGCACTAGGCACAGGAAAGTGGCCGTCTAGGGCAGGAGAGCTGCCAGCCTGGCCACCCAGGACCAGGTGTGCATGAAAATCAAGGGGGTCCACTGAGACCCCCGACACTGAGCCCTGAGCTTACAATGGCCGTCCTGGGTCAGACCAAAGGTCCATCTAGCCCAGTAGCCTGTCTGCCGACAGCGGCCAACCCTAGGGACCCTGGAGGGGATGGACCGAAGACAATGACCAAGCCATTTGTCTCGTGCCATCCCTCTCCAGCCTTCCACAAACTTTGGGCAGGGACACCACTCCTACCCTCTGGCTAATAGGACTCCATGGACCCAACCTCCATCACTTTATCTCACTTCCCTTTAAACTCTGTTCTAGTTGTAGCCTTCACAGCCTCCTGCAGCAAGGAGTTCCACAGGTTAACTATTTGCTTTGTCAAGAACAACAACTTTCTCTTACTAGTTTCAAGCCTGCTACCCATTCCTTTCCTTTGGTGTCCTCTAGTCCTTCTTTATGGGAACTCAGGAAGAACTTTTCTGAATGCACCCTCTCCACCCAACCCCTGCTTTTAGAGACCTCTATCCTGTCCCCCCTCCGTCTCCTCTTTTCTAAGCTGAACAGTCCCAGTCTCTGTAGCCTTTCTTCATCTGGGACCTGTTCCCAACCCCTGATCATGTTAGTTGCCCTCCCCTCTCCCAGCCTTTCTCTTCCCCTCTCCCACCTCCTTTTCCCAGTCTCCCCCAGTTTTTTTCAATAAAGACAGAGTCAATGTTGGAAGAAACGTTATCTTTATTTTGTACATCAATAAGAAGGGGGGCTAGGGAAGGGTAAGTGGAAGGAGGTGAGGGAGGAATGGGGTATGAGCCCCCGATGGGGAGGACTGGGCTGGCTCTGCGGGCTTCTGGGGGTGGAAGCTCTCCTGCAGCCCCCCAATTACTCCCTCTCCCCAGATGGCAGCCTGCGGCAAGTGCAGCCGGGCTGATGGCCGAGTGGTGTGATGTGCCCAGTGTGGGCACTCAGGGCACTCCAAGCCAGAACTTCTTTGCAAGCGGGGCACCCCTTAGAACTGTGTGTCCGGGGTGGGGGTCGGGACCCTTTAAGCGCAGCCCTCGGCTAGCCTGAGACAGCATCTCCATGCTCTAAGTCCTCCTCTTATGCCCTGCCGGCACTGCTTCCGGCCATCCTTAAGCCCTGTTCAGAGTCCACTCAATGTGGACTTGCTAGTTCGAATTAGCAGAACGCTAATTAGAACTAGTTTTTAGTTCTAGACGCGTTAGTTCGAATTAGCTTAGTTCGAATTAACTAATTCAAACTAAGTTAGTTCGAACTAGCGCTGTAGTGTAGACATAACCTAAATGAATATTGGGATAGTCTCAATGGATATTGGGACATCCGGTTACCCTACTCCCAATTTGCATTTCCTTTTGAAATGGCCTTGGGGGTCCTGTGGTTTACTACTTGCTAACTGAGTAGAGGAACTTTGCATATGCAATTGCAGTTTGGTAGCCTCCTTCCCTTCAAATCAGGAGGGACCTAATCCAACATAGCATTTGTGCCTGTGCTTACACCCATCCTTATTAAGGTCGTCACTGACACATGTCAGTGCTGTCCTGAACAGGAATATTTTCCTGACAGGATCTTACATTTTTTATTTGTCCACTCAATTTAAAACAAAGCTTAAAACATTTTATTGTCGGTGAACATCAATGATTTAAGACTAGAAGGCTTGATTTCTATGCAGTCACCATTAGTAATTCTTACTTGTAATACAGTGGCATCTAAAGGCCCCAGCTGAAATCAAAGAACCCTTTTCCTGAACACAGACCATGTGAGTTTATGGCCTCCCAAAGAGCTTGCGCATTGACTTCAATGGAAATTAGCTGTCTACACTGCTTAGGTGTTTTTGTAAATTCCACTCTGTACCAGATTTTAAAAATGCCTCTAGGCACTCAGGAACTTTTGAAAATGCCATAGGCACTGCATTTGCATCTTGAGGCACTGAAACATGTTTTTAAAATCTGGCCTTCATAATCTAAAGGTTCAAACCTGCAAGGTGCTCAACACTTAGGTCCTGCTCTACCAAAGGATTGGGAAACCGAAGTGCAGGGAGTGAGTGATGTGCCCAAGGTCACACAGGAAGTGTGTGGCAGAGCCAGCAACTGAATTATAAAAAGTTCTGTTCCAGATTTGCAATTTAGTTTAAAGGCAAATAAACTCAATAGCAAGAACAGTTTGAACTAAGGGTGTGTCTAGACTACAGTGTTTTTTTGAAAAAAAGTAGCCTTTTTTCGAAAAAACTTCCCCTGCGCCTAGACTGCTGAAAGTAAATCAAAAGAACGTGGCAGGTTTTTCGACCATGGAAAACCTTGTTTTACGAGGAAAAACACCTTTTTCGAAAGCGCTATGTAATGCAAACTGTGCTTTTTTGAAAGAAAGCATCCAGACTGCCTGGGTGCTCTCTTTTCAAAAAGAGGCTTGCTTTTTCGAAAATACTGGTTGTAGTCTAGGCGCTCCCTTTCAAAAGAGGCTTGCAGTCTAGACATAGCCTAAATGTTGTGATCATGACTCTTACAGTATATTTTGCCTTCTCCTCTGCTGTATGGCAACAGTGCTTTTGATTGTACAGTGTAAAGCTTGCCCTGAAGTTTGCTTAAATATAAACCTCAAGAAACTGAATCTGTTCTTTTTATTATGTGCTCAGCATAAATCCATCACCAAGAACAGCAATTATTTCAACCTGTTGACTCACTCTTCTAAAGCTAGAGGTCACAAAAGAACTGCACCCCTCTACTTTTTTACTTCTACATTTGTATATGAGCTATGATATGTATATGTTGTGTGCTTTTGGCTTTCCTTGTCATGTAATTTCTTCAGTTTTGTACATATAAAGGCATCCAGGAGATATAAGCATGTAAGGAATGAAAAAGGTGGGGAATTAAAATGAGAACAAAAATCCCAAGTTGTTTTAAATATATGTGTTCTATGTTAGAGCCAGACACACTGCCAAGAAGCAAGCCTCAGGTGTATACTAGAGGGGAAAGTTTGATTTGAAGCATTTGCTTTATCCACAACATAGTCTTCTCCAGCTGTACTTTAATGTTATACATATACTATATACTCAGATTTGTTAATGAGTCATGATGGAAACATGTGAATCTATGGACATTAGACATGTGCAAAACATTTACCTCAAACATCAGATAAAGTTGAAGTGTTACAATAGAAGTAATAGTATGCTCCAATTTTATTAAATCTCTACAAAATGGTGCTCCTCCTGGATATTCATGTGTTTTGTGAGGCTGCTGTCCGCTGGTTACTTTTGAGTATGAACATCTTTCAAGAAAAAAAACAACAATCAGATAAGGCAAGTCACTTGGGCTATGTCTAGACTGCAGGCTTCTTTCGAAAGAGGCTCTTTCGAAAGCATCTTTCGAAAGAGCCTCTTTCAAAAGATCGCGTCTAGACTGCAGGCGGATCTTTCGAAAGAGAAATCCGCTTTTTCGAAAGAGAGCCCCCAGCGAGTCTGGATGCTCTCTTTCGAAGACGGCCTCTTTACATTGAAGAACGCCTTCTTTCGAAAGAGGAACTTTCGAAAGAAGGCGTTCTTCCTCGTGAAACGAGGTTTACTGCCATCGAAAGAAAAGCTGCGTTCTTTCGAAATAATTTCGAAAGAACGCGGCTTGAGTCTGGACGCAGGGGAAGTTTTTTCGGGAAAAGGCTACTTTTCCCGAAAAAACCCCTGAGTCTGGACACGGCCTTGGTATTTGCCAACACTGCTATTGTCCTCTATTTCTGGACCTAGCAGAGAAGCCAATACTGTGAGAACCCAAGACTGTCTGTGTGTTCATAGAGATTTCAACCTCTGAAAACCAGAGTTAGGGCTGAATGAAAGTAAAACTTTTCAGCCCGAGTCCATCTCTTCTGAAAACCAAATTAATTCAAAGCTGAAATTTTTAGAACTTCAAGACAAAGGAACTCATTGGTTTTGACACCAATATTTTGCAGATCTTTCGAAACTGATCTTGGCAGTAGTCAAACAATTCTAGGGCTCAGCTGCTTGGCACTATTATAAAAGCCTAGATTGATAGGTAAGTAGGCAGAGACACAGTTACCACAGCTTTAGAAATTAATAGGAAATGGGTGGAGAGGGGAATTTTATTAATAAAATTTTAAAAAATTTATCTTGTGCAACCACTTTGCTATATATCTTCTAATTTATAGCAAGGATAACAACTTCTATAAAGGTTTTTGGTCATAGTTATACAGCATTCTTTCTTCATATTCTCTCTGAGAATATACATGGCTGATTTTCCATAGATTTCTTCAGCATCAGAGCTTTCCATGGAAATATTCATGATGTTTTCTGTAGCCAATAAACTTCACTCAGAAAGCTGGCTTGGAATTTACACTACCTAAATTTATAACTATATAATCTAAAACATTGTTTTAAACTGCTTTAGTTTTTTGACATTATGTCATGTTACATTAGGTTATAATCCCTGAAAGATTACATCACATTATATGAGTTTATTAGAGGCACAATATGGTATGAGGCGAGCTTCGCCACACTCAGAACTATTTAAGTGTCAAAAACCTTCAGGATCAATATTCAGTATCAGTTTGGAGAGCCCATGTACCTGTTTTTTATTTTTTGAAGTACATGCAAGCATCCTCAGGAAAGCCTAGTTGTTGAAGCAATCACTTAAACCAAATTAAATGATAAACTATGAACATTTATGTATGATAATTTTATAGTAACAGATTTTAATAATAGATTATTGTGTTTAAGTAGGTATCCTTTGTTCTAGTCTCTCCAAACAAAACAGTCTGCCTAAAAAAAAAAAAAAAAAAAAGCTGTTTCATTTTATATTGGAAAAATGCAATGTGACATCTGGAGAATAAATTGTTCAGTCAGCCAGAAATACGCCTTGTAAAAATTGCTTAGGTTTCTGTAACAAGATTATTTACTGCGACTGTTCACCTATAATGCAGCACACTCTTGAAATGGACCTTTTATGAAACACATCAAGCACTGTGGAAATGTATTCAGTGCATTAATCTACAACACTGCACACTTTACAACACTTTTAGAACAGATTTTGAAACTCAGACCATCTAATGAGACAGAAAGTTTTTCTTTATATTCATTCCAGTCATGTTTTATACTAAGCCTTTAGGGTCTTTCACATAAAGCAATAGTTTTTTTTAATGCAAACAAAATGTACTACTCTGGAAATGAGTGTTGAGCTCAGGTTGTACTTTACTCATACTTCCATTGCCTATGCATAAGGCAAATACTTTATGTAACTTGTGCCATAAAGCTTTATAAATATTTAAGCAACTTGATTTAATCCAAATGAGAGACCCTTTAAATGCTATCAGTTTCTAAACATAACTTTGCATGGAGTAATTGATGACCAGCAATCTTGATTATTATCCTATTTGTGCCAATTAATGCCCTGATTCTGTGAGGACTAGAGCTAAACTGCTACAGTGTGGGTACATAAAATCTCAGGATCCAGACCTAAAGTAAATTTAATTTGTACTTTAATGAAAAGCCAGATCCTGCTGGGAGTTGCCTATTTGCTGAGAAGTACTGAGCATCTTCTACTCCCACTGAAGTCAGAGCTAGAAACAGGACAAAAGTTGGTTCAGCAAATACAAGTACAGTACTTCTAAGTGTAATGATTGGTGCAATTAATGAGATGTAAGGATGGCTGATCTGTAAATCTCAAGCAGGATGACAGAAAGCAAGCAGATTAATTTTTGCCTGCAACATGGGTCTCACTGAGCTAATACAGCTGACCGAGGGATTTCCAGGTGTGATTCAGAAACAAGTGTTTAGTGTGTTCAAACAATAGCTAGATTCATAGCTGGAGATTAATTTAAGAATGGTTATTGGAATAAGCACCAGAACAGTGGCTTTTTCTAGTTGTCAAACACTGAATGAGCTTTTTAATTAATTCTCTTGTCTGACTGTACAATGAGTACCATCTACACTGATAATAACATTGTGAATCACATGGATACTTGGTTGGAAGACTAGGTTCACACAGTCCAAAATGTGGTAGACAAGGCATATCAGACTATCCTAAACAATGTATTTTCCAAAAATGTCATATATAACTTCCCTTATATCACCAAATTTGTGGTGAGGCTTTTTAATTACGGGCTTAGATTTTGAAAGAAAACAGTAGGGGTTACAGCGCTTTGGGTGTATCTAGACTACAGGGTTTTGTCGACAAAAGTGGACTTTTGTAGACAAAACTATACCTGCGTCTACACTGCTGCTGAGTTCTGTCGACATAACATCGACAGAACTCAGCAGTTTTGTCGACGGCTGTAAACCTCATTCTATGAAAATAAACTCCCTGGCTGTGTCCAGACTCCACTACACTGTCCTTTGCGTCTACACTCTCATGTCGATAAAGTGGCTTGCTTTGTCAACAGAACTGAATGTAGTCTAGACGCTCTTTGATGATAGAAGATTTGTCGACAGTATCTGTCGACAAAACTTCTGTTGACAAAAGCCTGCCGTCTAGACGTACCCTTTGTAGTTCCCAAGACAAGGATGAGACAGGCATCTAACATACCTGTTACTCAGTGGATTAACCTTCCCTCCATCCCAAAGACACCATGTCCTAGTCTACACTAGGGAGTTATTTCAAAATAACCCTCTTAATTTGAAATAGCAAGTGGAGCGTCCACACTACCAAGCCTGTTATTTCAAAATAATGGGCTGGTTATTTCGAAGTCTGTACGCCTGCTTTCCTCGGGGAATAAGCTTATTTTGAAATAGTTATTTTGGGAGTTATTATTTAAAATTTAGTTATTTTGAAGTAAGTTCCTAATGTAGACATGGCCTATGTAAATGAAGATCTCAAAACAGTGAAAATATGCTATGGAGCAACATCAACATTGGGATGCATGTTCAGGCTGAACCAAATTTCCAAGTAATTTGAAATTTGCATATCATGAACACCAGTCCAGTGGAGCAGCAAGGTCTAGAAGAGTAGGGAACCTCAATCTGAGGCAAATGATACATTTCAAGGGGTCATGACAACCTTCAGAGCTGGTCTTAGGGGTGGGCGAGCTGGGCAGTTGCCCAGGGCCACCATTTTTAAGGTGCCACTGACAGAGCCCTATGGAAGCCTGTTTGGGGGACATAGCAATGAAAGGGGCTGCTAGTGCATTTTGGCCCGACCCCTGGCCTTTTTTTTTTTTTGCTCAACAGATTTTTTTTCCCTGGGCCATCAACTGGTTAGGACCGGCCTTGACTACCTTCATTTTCTATACTCCGGGAAGAGAGTCATAAAACAACTTCTGTTGTAAGAGTATTTTCTGGCACACAAGCCAGTGTCATAAAAGGTATCTAACTGTTGTCATGGTATAGAAAAGGTTAAAAATCAGCCATCTGTAGGAATGAGGACAGGTTTCTATCCAGATAATTTTGAATTTTAATCCCTCTTTACCACTGACTCACTGGATGGCCTTGGCAAAGTCATGATTTCAGCATTGGTTTCCCCACCTATAAAATGGCTTGCTCAACACAGTAAGGTCTGTAAAGATTGATGAATATGAACTCTGCATAATACAAGAATATTAGAATCAGAATGTGACTATAATAGAAGATGAAAAAGAACACAGGAAAGAACTGAGAAAAGGTTACATAATGTTTCTGGCTCTATTCAACAATTATAGAAAGTGTTTCATGAATTCACATGAGTAGAAGGTATTAAGATCAGTGCAGTGGAACAGTTTTTGGCATTGGGGTTCTGAGCTGCACCTTACCTTTCTCTATTATGCCTTCACTACCCTCTTAGGCTGAGGTCAGCAGCTAGCAAGGACCGGGCGCCAAACAGAATGCAGGGCCCTGTGACTGAGCAGGAAGCAGTGCTGGCATTAGAGCCACTTGGCAACAGTGGGCCTGGCAGCCAAGACGCCAGGCAGCAGGAACTCAGGGCTGGGACACCCAAAACTTGGAATTGCTGCAGCACCCTCACTTCCTGCACATAAGAAGTAAGATGAATAGAAAATTAGTGAATTACATTCTCAATGTGAAAGACATTGCTGATTCAAAGGACAGTCTGATGAAGTTAGTGCAGACTATATACGACTATAGAAAAGGAAATAGTCAAAGAATGTGAACAAGACAAAAACTGTGGTAATAGACAAGAACTGTGGAAAAACATTCTCACTTCCAATGAATGACACAGCCATATATTGAATGAGAAATTACTGCCGTTAAGAAGTATTATTACAGAAGGTGGAAGATTGGAAGTCACCACCAGAAGAGCAAAACTGAACCTCTGATTAAAAGGGACATAAATTTGAAAACTAAATTGTGACTCAAAATATTTACATTTGCTCTGTGTTCAATTATAGCTATGAAACATAGACATTCAAAAATAGACAATAAAGAAACTACAGTTCTTTGACTTATAGCTTTATAAAAGAATTCTTAAAATACCAAGTAACCAATAAAAATGTATTGGAGATGATTTTATCTTTATGAAGAGATATTGGATTTGCAGGACACATTTTAAAGGGTACAGAAGGCAGTGCATGTTTACAGGCATTGGAAGAGAAATTTAATGGCATTAAAAATGAGATAGAAAAAGAAGATTTTTGATGGGCTATGTGGAATTGTGGCTGGATCAAAGATACTATTCATCCTCAAAGAGATTAGCAGAGGATCATGCAAAATAAGTTACAGTGTAATTGCAAAACATCAACAATGGAGATGCCACAGAGGAAGACTGTGGGTGCACATTTTATTTATTCATCTACCTCATGAATTGTTCAGTGGATTGTACATATGAAATGCCATACTAGTGCTACTCACTATAATTTTTATCATTGCAACCAATCTCTGTTCTATAAGGAAATGCTATTAAAATAATACAGTAATACATGGTAATAACAAAGGCACATAGGGTACGTCTACACTACAGCGCTAATTCGAACTAACTTAGTTCGAATTAGTTAATTCAAACTAAGCTAATTCGAACTAACGCGTCTAGAACTAAAAACTAGTTCGAATTAGCGTTTTGCTAATTCGAACTAGCATGTCCACATTAAGTGGACCCTGAACCGGGGTTAAGGATGGCCGGAAGCAGTGCCGGCAGGGCATCAGAGGAGGACTTACAGCGTGGAGATGCTGTCTCAGGCTAGCCGAGGGCTGCGCTTAAAGGGACCTGACCCCCACCCCGGACAGACAGTTCTCAGGGGTGCCCCGCTTGAAAACCAGTCCTGGCTTGGAGTGCCCGGAGTGCCCACACTGGGCACATCACAGCACTCGGCCATCAGCCCGGCTGCACTTGCCGCAGGCTGCCATCTGGGGAGAGGGGACAATTGGGGGGCTGCAGGAGAGCTTCCATCCCCAGAAGCCCGCAGAGCCAGCCCAATCCTCCCCATTAGGGGCTCGTACCCCATTTCCCCCTCACCTCCTTCTACTTACCCTTCCCTAGCCCCTTTTCTTGATGTACAAAATAAAGGACAATTGTGGTCAAAAATGGAATCTGTCTTTATTGAACAAAACTGGGGGAGACTGGGAAAAGGAGGTGGGAGAGGAGAAGAGAGAGGCTGGGAGAGGGGAGGGCAACTAAAATGATCAGGGGTTGGGAACAGGTCCCATATGAAGAGAGGCTAAAGAGACTGGGACTTTTCAGCTTAGAAAAGAGGAGACGGAGGGGGGACAGGATAGAGGTCTATAAAAGCAGGAGTTGGGTGGAGAGGGTGCATACAGAAAAGTTCTTCATTAGTTCCCATAAAGAAGGACTAGAGGACACCAAAGGAAAGGAATGGGTAGCAGGCTTCAAACTAGTAACAGAAAGTTCTTCTTCACAAAGCAAAGAGTCAACCTGTGGAACTCCTTGCTGCAGGAGGCTGTGAAGGCTACAACTAGAACAGAGTTTAAAGAGAAGTGAGATAAAGTGATGAAGGTTGGGTCCATGGAGTGCTATTAGCCAGGGGGTAGGAATGGTGTCCCTGCCC